AGAAAGGAGCACCAAATAAAGGGTGTTGGGAGGATCCTCCCAGGATGGGAGAAGCATGCTGAAAGTAGACTGTAGACTGAACATGATCGCCACTCAATGCCTCTTTTGCAAACCACAACACCCAAAAGGAGAGAGAGAACAAAAGGGAATGCCCTTCCACAGAGGCAGGGTGGGATGGGGGGCTGCGGGGGGTGGGAGGGATACTGGGACCGTGGTGGTGGAAAATGAGCACTGGTGGAGGGATGGGTGTTTGATCATTGTACAATTGAAACCCAAGTACAAAAATGAGGGATGGGTACTGGATCATTGTATAACTGAAACCCAAGCACAAAAATTTGTAAGTCTACAACTGTACCTCATGGTGTTTCACTAATAAAAATTAAAAAAAAACAAAGTGATGAAGGTTCACATTTCAGATGCCTGAATAACAATGTTTGGGGCATCCATTGCTTATTCTAGCTCTCTGGTCATTTGCGTTTATATTTTTAACCACAGAAAAGCATGTAAACATTTGCTGTCTGGTCCACACGCCATGATGATGCAGGGTCAGATTTCCATGTTGGAAAGTCAAAGATCAGTGTATCTGCTTGTGTTTGGAGAAATGCAGAACAAAGCAAATTTCATGGCCTTTGGGGTAATCATCCCAATTCCCTAGTTACATTTTTCCTAGTTAATCATATAGGCCATTCTTTTCTTCTCACTTTGCAGATGAAGGTTTTGACAGAGGGTGCTTGGATAATAGTTTACACTTGGATCTTCTGTTTTAAAGAGTTGTGCCTATCGGAGAGATTCCCTGATGATGAAAATGTGATGTCTTGGGAATGTGGAAATGTTTGCTTCGGTTCCTAGAATGAGGGACACTGGAACAGCAATGAAGGCAGAGGCCCTTGACTAAGCAACACTAATCCACATACTATGAACACACAGGGAACACTTTCCCTAGTCTTTTTTGTTTGTTTGTTTTGCTTTTGGGTCATACTCGATGATGCACAGGGGTTACTCCTGGCTCATGCACTCAGGAATTATTCCTGGCGGTGCTCGGGGGAACCACATGGGATGATGGGAATCAAACCCGGGTCTGTTGCATGCAAGGCAAACACCCTACTTGCTGTGCTATCACTCCAGCCCTCACTACTGAGAAAAGCATGCAAATTTGAAACTCAATGCTCCACTTATATGCACCCTCCAAGAGTGTAGTGTGATATATTTTGGTTTCTTGAGACTTTGGGGGTCTTCGCTGAGCTGCACTGACCTGCTCTTTAACTCTCCTGTTCTCCCTCCCATCTTCCTATGAGGCCTCAAGGCCCACAGTGACCCCCGCCTCCCAACCAGCTTTAATATGCCTGAGACCTTAGTACACAGATGGACGGATCTGACCTTTCATAGCCACTGCTTGAGTCCACTTCCTAGTCTGGCTCCCCACTGGCCCACGGCAGGAGAGACACAAAACAACAAATGTCAATTGAAATCTGTTTCTCAATTTTTGTTTGCATTTTTAGGCAAAGACTACTAGACATACTTGAAAGGTTGTTGGAATACAAGGGGCTTAGGTTTATCAGGTTACACCCATCACAGTGCTCCCGAGTCATTCTCATTACTTTGCTTATCTGTAACCACTTCTACCCTCTCTTCCCTAACCAGTTAATCAGCTTTTCCCCTAATCAGAATCTGTTAATTTGTAAGGTCGAATCCTTCTAGGACACTGAACTTGTAAGTTAATATTGCTTTTCTCCTCTCCTTGTGTCATTTGAATAGTTTAATGCAATGTCCTTTTTGTATAGATTCAGGAAGACAGCTAATATTATGCTTTGTATCTTAGGACTTAATTGGCTTTGAATATTAGTCACTCCCGGGCATCTGCTTTCTCGACTTACGCCTCAGTTGCCCTTAGTTCCTAGCACCCCGGGTCCTGACGAGGGACTGAATGGACCCAGGGCAAGCTGTGAGCTACCCTGGCATCGAAATAGGCCAGGCCAAAGTGCCATGATTCTTAACTATAAGTTAAGAGTTTGATCATAGACAAATGCTGTCATGAACCAAAAGTAACGATGAGGCTAGGACCCTGCTAGGGATAGGAAAGACTATCTGGCCTGAGCACTGTAGTCTGAGATTGAGATGGCCCTAGGAGAGCAATTCTATAAGCTTAACATATTTCTTACTGTGTCCATACAAAATGATTTTATATTATGTATGCTTATACATTTGTTGGACAAGGAGAGGAGAACACCGAGGAGATTCCATTCTAAGGTGGGTTGATCTACTAAATGAGAATCTGTCCTAGAAGCAACTTTCCCATGTGTCCTGACTAGTTTGGATGAGGCTGAACATTTCTCCCCTTCAAACTGCCTTCAGTAAATAATTTCAGTATACTGTAAGAGGCAGTTTCCCTTTTCTCACAGATATCTTAGGTGCTAGCCAGGCCTGATCTTTGGGATGTAGATTCCCAGCTCTAGCCAGCCTAGTCTTTGGGATGCAAAGCTCAGGTACTTTTCTTTGGGGTGTAGATTCCAACCTCTAGCAGACTAGTCTTTGGGATGCAAATCCAAGTGCTTCTAGCCCAAGAAAGGTTTCAGTCTTGGTTTTGTGTCTTCTTTCCGGAGGCCAAGATTACTGGCCTGCAGATGTAAAGAAACAATCTATGTTTTGCCGCCTCAATGTTCTTTCTGTAACTCCTTTTGATGACATCACTGTATTGGGCCCTTTAGAGGTACCATGATCTATATAAGGATATTTTCAGGGTTCTCTAGATTACACGTGCTTTAGAGAACCTGGGAATTCAGGGCTGAGAGAACCAAAGAGACGGGTCTGAGAGAATGGGGACAGAAGCTGAGAGAACAAGAAAACGTGCTTGAGAGATCCTGGGCCCTCCATGACATAAGTTTCTTCCTTGTAATAAACTGCTACGAAGACCATCCAGCCTGGTCCTCATTTCCTTCCTTCACCTGCCCATCGCCATCGGCCTCCCTGGAGTGGGGAAACGGCCTGAGACTACCGAACGCGGGCGGTGGGAGAGATAGGCTGCTGCTGTCCCTTTGCCCGCTCTTTTTGTGTTTACACAAAAGGTTTTGGAAGATACTCCTTATCTGCGATGGGTGACAAAAGTTTGTGCCATGACAAATATTGTGAGTATTGCATTTAGGCAACATCATTCCCTTGGAAAGGTGGCTGTCTCGCTACCACAACTTTCACGGCACCTACTATGTGCCAGGTATGCCCAGGACACTTTGTGATCAATATCCAGATACCATGTGACAATCACACATGTACAACTGCTATATCCTCATTTTACTGAGAGAGAGAAATAAGACAGTTAGAGCTTGAATCACTTGCCCAAGGTTATAAAAAAGTAAGTGGTAGAACCGGGCTGAGAATCCAGGACAGAGCTTGCCTATATTACGGCTGCATGAAAGAGACCTTGACATTTCCTTCATTAAAATATATTTTAAACAACCTTAAAAAGTTTAAGAGGAACTCTAATTATAAACTAATAGCAGGTAGCATCACAATTGTTTGGTCAGGTGGCAAGTGGAGACCAGCAGATTTCAAATGTGAACTGATAATGCAGGATCCTGAAGTAACTTGGTAGTTACTTTTTTAAAATCTGATTTAATGACTAAAAATATCATATTAATTAGATCACTGTTACAATGGCTTATATTTAACCCAAATCTTTCAGAAGAGTCACAACCACTTCCTCCTAATGCTTCTGTTAATCCCACGGTCTCACATTAATAATCCTAGTCATCCTCAAGATATTCAATAACTCCCAGGAAAGGCCAAATGGCCAAAATAAGTTTGTCAGCCTTAGTATTATGAAGAGTCTTGAAACCATACACCGGAGAAGTGTAACAAAAATATGCACAGGATTGAGAAAAGTAGAACTGTATTGAGAGTAACAAGCTCATTTGTCAAATTACTCCTTAGTTTACTTACAAATGACACACTCGTTTTATATTTAAATTCTAGGTACTTGAGAATTAAAAAACTAAAATGAATATAATACTAGATATGAAATGTTTTAGTTCATTTTATTTTCTTTTGGGCCTCCCAAGTAAATGTAATATAGTACCTAGGGGTACTTAAGTAGTACTTAGGGGTCACAAGGGCTATGTCTGGGGGTACACTGGGGCAAAGTCAGGCTGGAAATATAGGCAAGGCAGGCACTGTTAGTCCTTTGCCTTATCATCACCCGGAACCTCAAACATTGTAGATTTTCAACTGGAATAGAACTAGGAGTATTTTTCTTGTTATAGATCTCCCAATACCAAAGTGCCATCTGCCTTCTCAAAATGAAATCTAATGCTTCTTTCTAAATCTCAATTTGAACGGGGTGATCTTTAAACAAGTCCCACTTGCCTCGTATGTTTCTTGCCCAGTCATCCCACTGCTTTCTTCTGAAGTAAATATAAAGCTTATCATTTCTTCAGTTGTAAGATTTACTTCCTGATTATTTACCAAAACAAAAAAAATAGTTCTCAGTTTGTCCCTAAAACTGGGCAGAGTTCAGGACAGGAAACAGAATGGTGCCTGCAACGATCATTTTAGGATCAGTTTGAAGTCTACCCTGAAAACGTTATGACCCCCCCCTACCCCGGAACCCCCACAACCCTGACCATGATCACTGCTTTGTGGCTGCTCCTGGAGGAAACTGGTACCCTTCCTGGTAGAGGGTTCATTTTTACAATTATTTTGGATCTGCAGAGCAGTACCACTAAGCATTCTAGTCACCCCACACTTTGGGGAGGAGGAGTGATAATGGTGGCGACCGGTCACCGGTGGATTCCCACAGTGCAGAGACACAAACATATCTGCGAATCCTTCTTTCTGGCATGCACTGACTAGGGAACCGGAGCATAGAGATTCAGTACCTGGGGAGGACTCAGTTCTGGTTGGGGGGGGGGGAGGGATTGAACACTGACACGACAGACCCACAGACGCACGATGTGCAGCAGACCTCAGTGACAGTCATTTGCAAGCTGTTAGTTAGGAAGGGGCCTTACCCGGGCCTTCTGCTCCATTTCTAGCATTACTCTCTCATGCTGCTCAGCTATGGCCAGAGTCGCGGAATGGACCTTCTGATAGATCATTTCTCCTTCCCTTGTTTGAAAAGTGAATAGTCCTTCTCCTGTGTCACACATTCTGTGAGAATAGAGACAGGGAGAGACATGGGTCTTCATGGGTTCACGTCAATGATGACCTTGCCCTGGGTCACCCTCCTCCGGGATGCTCCCAGGAGCCAGAGAAGCAAGCAACCCACCCACCCAGGCGTCTCCAAACGGCATCTGAAAACAGAACTCGGGGTATAAAAAACATGCATAGGTGGAATTTTAGTCGATGTGTGCACGGTCTTCTCTAGTGGGACTAATTAAGCATGATTCTGGTGATCAGCTCATGGCTTACCAGTATTTAAAGGACAAAAGCAAATTGTTCCTTTCTTTTAGGAGTTCACATAACATAGCACTATCTCCTGTAACTTTCTAGTTCTTGAAATGTAAACAGAGTTGAATAAAAGAGCAATTTTATGCTCCTGGCAGGAAGGAACAAGCAGAAGACAACACATTTTTTAAATTATGGATTTGCAGACATTGGCAGAAGTTTTACTCACAACCAAGGAGTCCTTAAGTTCACCTTGGTACAACCTAGCAAAATCAACCTGGCAAGAGACTGAGTTTGAGTATGAGAAGACTTTGTCACTTTCTGATTCTTCCACTTACCAGTGTGCCCTTGGCAAGCTGAATAATGTGCCCACACCTTCTTCCCCCACCAAGCGATGGTCAACAGCACATCATCTCAAAGACGCTCTCACTGGAAGCCTTGGCACACTTTATGTGTTCCAAAATGTGAGTTGCTATTTTCATCATGAAGTATGAGGCAATTATAAATATCCACCTTGGAGAAATGGTTGCCTAATTACTGTGTTTTTACCCAGTGGATTTCAAGACACTGATGACTATGCCATTTATGAGCCCACAAAATAACATTAAAAATTCTTATTAGGTCCATTGCAGAGGGAAAAGCATAACATAAATTCTCTTTCAAGTATTTACTTGTAATCACCTATTTAAAACACAATTATTTCTATTGGAACAAAATCACTGACAGGCAATAGGATTATCGGTACATTATAGTAACCAAGACCAATAAAAATAAAATGAAAAGCATATTTGAATAGTCTCAGCTGGCTTTTTAAAGCAACCAGAGGCCTTGCGAGAGATGCACTCAATTCCCATAGGCGGTTCTAACAGAGGTATCAGGGAGCGTGTGCCCTCGTCCTGGAGGCCGACATCCGTGTGGCTGCACCAAGTGACACTCTCAAAAAGACTGACATGAAGGGATCCTGAGTCCAAATGAATTTCTCCAACACCAAAGAGATTTGGGATCCTCGTCTGTGAATCTCTGAGGAGTTTTGAGCAGCAAAGACAGGTTCCCAGCGTCCCCGACTGCTCTCCTGGAAGGCCCCATGGCGCTTGCTCTAGCTTCTGGGAAAGAGATCTTAATAAAATCCACACAGCGTGAAATGGAAAGTCTGGAGGAAAAAATGAAGAGTTTCCACAATGTGAAACGAATGAGCTTTCTTTGTGGATACCATGGAGTAAAGAACTCTGGCAGCAGGACAGCAGGGACGTGGGGGAGGTGGGCGTATGCATCCTCGTGTTTGAAGTGGGCACTCGGCTCCTTCTGGAAAAGGCAGCTTGTTCGCCTCCAGAAACGAGATAATGAAGACGCAGTCTGAAGACACCGCTGGAATTTCAGGCTCGGCCACTGAGAGGGAAGGGACAAACCCTTCTCACACTTCTCAGGAGACTCGTCCACCGCAGACGCTTCTGAAAGTTTCCAGGAAGGTTTCTGTGCCAGCCTTTGTAAATACAAAATACTACTGCCAGTTTCTCCCTTGGAACGAGAAATAAGGCACCGGCCGGGCACACCTGAGAAGGCCACTTTAGACATGCTTAAAGCGCTTCTTCTATAGTCTATGAGTGTCATCTGCAGTGACCTCAGAATCCTTGATCAAAACCAGTCCCATACGATGACTTTGTCAGTGGCGTTGGGATGAGCACTTGAGATTTCCCTGTGCTCACCATGACCACTGGGCTGGTAACATGAGCAGCTTGGGAGTTTATTCTTGGCTGTTTAAGTAGTTTTGAGGGAGTAGGCCCACACTGGTGAAGGAACTCCAGGGAGAGGGCAAACGCCTTTGGGATCTGAGACACCAGCCAGAGAATCCAGCCCCAGGGCAGAAGAGGTGACAGTGGTGACCTCACCGAGGCTTCCAGCTGATGCAGGCTGCAGAATATTGGGAGGGCAGGAGCTGTGAGCCCCCTCTGGAGAGTCCTTCCCTCTGGGGAAGAGCAAAGGCAGAGGGCACACAGCCTCACCCCTTCTGGAAAGGAACATTCCTGAGTAGTACTGACGCCTCAGAGGAGGGAGAATCCAGAGACTGCAAGCTTGCTCTCACGCCACGGCCCTCGACTGATATAGACAATGGAAAATGTCTTCTCTTCTGAGGTAAGAAATCCATATTTTCCTTAGGACGCCATGCTACACAGATGTTTTCATCTAAAATAAAACAGTAAGGAACATGCACGCTCGAAGGGCTCTTCCGGCATTCAGAAATGATGCAGAAATTCCCAGAGGTACGGAGCAGTGACTCGTGGAGATGCTGCTTTACATTTCGTGTGAAACATCCTACAATACCATCACAGGATGCAAAAGACTTAAGGCCGCTGTTTTGGGGGTGCTGCCGGTCGTCACTCTCATCCCTCCTGGCAGAAGCGGGTGCTTCTGACTCTGGGGTCCCGGGAAGAAGGACTCTAGGCGTCCACAGCCCGAGACTTGTGAAGTTGTGAGGAAGCAGAGTGTTCACAGGTATGAGCAGAAGATGACTGTGGTGTCATGGCACTTTGCTCTTTTATACCCTGCACGATGGACTAGGAAACCATCACTCCATTTTCTTCCCATTAAGGAAGTGATGTCAGCAGCATAGAAAACTGATTCCTCAATTTGGGTTGTGTGAACCCTACTCAATCCCATGGCTGGTTTTCTGAAATGTCACCTCTGATCCTTGGGACTCTCCAGGCTGAGTGAGTGAGTGACTCAGTGTGTGTGTGTATGTGTGTGTATGTCTGATGTGGTGTCTGTGTGTGTGTGTTTGTGTGTGTGTGTGTGTGTGTGTGTGGCCTTGCCTGACTAATTTTACTGGAGAAGTTTGTCCTGACAACTGGACTTGGTGAAGAACTCTTTGCAGCCTGGAGGCTGACAGGCCGGACTGATGCCATGGGCACCACATGACAGCCTCAGTCAACACTTTCTGCATCCAGACTGAAGATCTTCCCTGCTCGGCAGCCCCTGCCTGGTGTGTGGCCATAAGTCACTGTGCTAGTATGAAGGAGCCTCCACTTCAGTTGAATCGAAAAACTTTGTGTATCATCCAAAGGCTTTTTTAAATTTCCTGCCCTCAGGATCCAAGAACCTTCTTTCCCGCTTTCCTCCTCTAGCCAATAGCAACGTGCACTCAGGTTCACCTGAGGCCACAGTGCCGCTTGCTTTCTCCCTGGTGTGTACTGATCCTCAGGGAAGAGTGAGTTTGGGGAACTGCATGGAGTCACTGCATGAAACCTGAGTGCCTGGTGCGTCTCCATAAAGAGACCAACGTGGGAAATCCAGGGGGCAAGAGCCCCTCCTGCTCTCGTAGTGGGGTCTTCCAACTCAGCTTTGTGGGAAGGGGCAGCCGCGAAATTCCCGTCTCGCAAACGGCATGGCAAAGAAAGTCACCGAGTCAAAAGCGAAGGAAACATTCAACTTTGAAAAAGTAGATGGACATTGGGAAAAGAGTCTTTAGTGTGTCTTGAGGTAGAATTTGCTGCAGATGAATTTGTATGCTTCTAGCAAACTTGCCCATTCTCACTGTAGTTTTTTTTTCTTTTCCTTTTGGATCACACCCGGCAATGCACAGGGGTTACTCCTGACTCTGCACTCAGGAACTACTCCTGGTGGTGCTCAGGGGACCATATGGGATGCTGGGAATTGAACCCATTTTGGCTGCATGCAAGACAAATGCCCTAACCTCTGTGCTATTGCTCCATCTCCCTCACTGTAGTTTTTAAATATTGTGTGTGTGTGTGTGTGTGTGTGTATGTGTGTGTGTGTGTGTATAAAATAGCTAAATATTTTCCTTCGTGCACACAGAAATTTGAAACTCTTAGTGAGGGAGTAGATCAAGAGCACTCTCCTAAACACCCAGTGGTGTTTTTATTCAGCATTTAAAATTTAATGTTTAATTATAGAAAGTAATGAAATTCTTAAAAGCACAGCTTTTCTGTAGAATGGTTAAAACTAATTAACACTTTCTTTCTGTTAACAGCTTAATCTTTATTGTCATTTAACAATGCTAGCATTTTACTTTTTAAAAATGTGATGAAAAGGCTAAAATTTCCTCCTATGAGTTCAAGTAGTTAAAATTTTGACTATGGTTAAGAAACTACAAGGGAAATGACAAACAGATGAAAACATCAGAATAGGAAGCCCCGAAATAGAACCAGATCAGATGGGAGTTAAACAGATACTGAAAGTGTGCTATTAAATCTGTGACAGACAGCTGATTTAGACACCAGCCATTTTTTTCTAGTGTGATTACCTCACACATGAAAGGCATGTGCTCTACTTCTGAGACAGAGCTCAGCTCATGGGACACTTGTTATTTAAAACTTCAGCGGGCCGAGGAATAGTACAGTATATACTTTCCTTGCATACAGTAAACTTCTAGCACCATACGATCCCTCAAGCACACAAGGAGTGATCCCTGAGAACAGAGCCAGGCATAAGCTCCAAGCTCTGCTGGTGTCCACCCTCAAACAAAACCAAAAACAAAATTCTAGTACATCCTCATTTCATATCACTGGTATGTCCTCAGCTCTGTGTTTTAACTTCAAAGTGAAATCATGTGTGATGAAACCAATGTGACCAAAGGCTTACCGATAAAAGCCAGGGTTGCCATCTTACACCACACTTCTGGGCTCTCCCAAACTACTATGCTTCCGAATAAGGACTCAAACCTGCAGAATTATTATGCTCAATAATTCATTCTTTGCCTGCATCCCCCCTAGGAGGCTCAGTGGTTACAGTCACTGGGCCACCTTAGG